AAGAAGACAGTTTATAAAAATGATATTTATCTAACACGCATTATTAGACTCCAGTATTGATTCACGTCAATAGGAATCGGACAGTAAATTCTACAAGTATATAATATTATATTCTACAAGATCTTATCATAATGTATACATTTATACTTCACAACACAGATTTCAAACTAAACAAAAGAAATGAATACTGAAAGGAATTTTTGATTGACAAATAAAGTGAATACAGTGGTCTAAGAAAAAGTAGATAAAACAAAATTAAATAACAGAAATGAATACCGAAAGGAATTTTTGATTGACAAATGAAGTTGTTTAATTACATGATATCAGAATTATTCATCTTGTTAATTGTAAGTTGATGGTTGTGCTTTTGTATGTATGTTCTTTGTTAATATATGAAAGTTTCAGCAGCTGCCTGTAGTCTGTGTACGTCTATTTAGATCAGAATATAAGTATATAATTACAGAGGTTATAGACTAAGTGCATCTATTACACCATGTCAATATTTGTATAAATTTAACACGCTTACAACGAACCCCTAGAGTTGTTCTTTTTTGCAGAAAACAGTCATACGCCATATCAAACATATCAAACTCACAAAATGTTTGTAAATGACATCAAATGAGATGGGGTTTAGCGTCCTACTTTTCTGCACTGACTGGGCTAGTACTGTGTGCTATGCAGGTAATTTTGCCAGCACAGTGACGCTACAGCCTGCTCTTATTTTGAATTCCAACTGTCAATGGTCCTTTACATGCAGGCCAATGTGCACACAGAATTTTTTTTTTTTTTGCCCCATCCGTATGACTAGACACAGTACTTGGCAGGCCCTCTGTCCTGCACCACTGACAAGGGGAAAATCTTGAGGAATTTTCTCTACCAACACCGGGAACGAAACCTGAAAGACCTCCTGGTTAGCGAGCCTGGGTCTTACTCACTGAGCCTCCCCGGCTTCCCAAAATCTTTTTGTACTGGTATGTTATATTTTGGCACAAAAAGATGCAATTTGTTGGAGTAAAGATCAAATTATTTATTTTCACCACCAGTTTTTGGAAATTAATATAACTGAGTTAAAATATCACCCAAGGCCACACACCAATTTGGATTTATGTTCTTCAGGATAAGCTGTTAAAATTTTTCTTTGTATTTCTTCAGCAAAAGGACAAGTTTAAAAACCAAAAGTACTTGCTTGCGCTGTTCAAATTTTTAAGTTTTGAAATTTTAAACTAAACAAAATTAAATGAAATGAAATGGGGTTAAACGTCCTACTGTTCTGCTCCGACTGGGCTAATGAAGATGGGCATATGTCATGCAGTGTGCACTATGTCCTACTCTTATATTGAATTCCAACAGCTAAGGGATCTTTTACATGCACCCCAATGTATACACAGGATCTCGGTTTTTCATCTCATTCGAACGGCAGCTGTCCTTGTCAGGCCCTCCATCCTGCGGAAACCACGTCGGAAAATCTCAATGAACTTTCTCAGCCAATGCAGGAATCAAACAAGCGATCTCCAAACTAGCAAGCCAGCATCTTACCCACTTAGCTATGGTGGCTCCTTTAAACTAAATATCTTTTATGTAATTCAACTGTACATTGTTTTATCAACACCTTGAAGAATTGAAAATGAAATTGTTGTTTGCCAAAGATCTACTTGACATTTAAATGAATCCTATCAAGCTGTTCATTATCTAACTCTGACATTAAAATGTATTCTTTAATACAATTTAAATGCTCTAACACATAATTTTGGAACGATCAATGCATCTTGAAAAACCACACCAAAAAAAAACAAACTAAATTTTCCTTCTTCCACTGGCATTATAACATATTTCTAAAGACAATTTAGATGCTTTAACACATAATTTTTGATGTTGAAAGAAATATAATTTAATATTCCTTCTTGCAAAAATATTGACCTCTGTGACATTTTTATATATACAAAACTGGTCAATACAAAGAAAGTATTCTGTCTATTAGGTTTCATCCATTATTTATGATTGTCTAATTGGATATAAGCCACTGAAGATTCTAATCTCATGAGAGATCAGTTAATATTTTTAAAATAAAGATTGAATATTTATTTGATATTAAACAGTCAGCTTCATTAAATACTTCATATTCACTTGATCACATGATTTACTATCAATAAAAATACATTTCACCGATTGATTTTGTGATTTAATATCAATAAAAAATAAATATAATTTCATGATTTAATATAAAGGCTCACTTTTCTGGTTAGCCTTGTAGACGACACCCCTCACAGAGAGTAACACGCTACCTTAGTAACCAGGAGGTCCAGGGTTTAATCCCGGTGTTGGTCCAGGAAGTTCATTGGGATGGAATTTAATAATCGAGTTGGCCGTAGCACCACTGTCCAGGCAAAATTTACCTCATAGCACAATGTAAAGCGTATGCGAATCTTCATTAGTCCAGTTGGTGCCCAACCCAACAGTAAGATTTAAACCCCATTTCATTTCATTTGATTTCTTAAAACTAAAATCTCCTGAATTCAATAAAACCTCAATAAGAGAGAAATGGAGTTTAACATCCACTGGACACAAACTAGGTCATTTCGTGACTAACATATCGTTTTAATAATTTGCTTGCGAGGAGGGTTCTTTAGCAGTGGGAGGGAATCGGAGGACCCGGAGAAAACCCACGAAGGTTGGACAGGCAACTCTACTCCTTGTCACATACAACCGGGGAATCAAAACCATGCCACTTGACTCAATGACAAACCATTCGTCTATCCACCCCCCAAAACTCAATAAACAACTGATATATCCAGTCTTGTATTCTCTCAGAAAAAGATATCATATTAAGCAGATAATCTGGTAATGGAGATAATGTGATAGTGATTGAATAAAAACACGACTAGAGGAAGATGAAAGTGTATTTTAAACACAATTAAGCAAAGTCGACGATCATGACATGTTTACGACTAAAACGTGCATGTAAGAAAGGCTTAATATGAAAGCGTCCAAAATATTATACACCTTGGCCGTAAGTCCCCTAGATCTTGAGACACTAGGCTTCAGTCTACTAAGCCTATTGGTAAATCAGTTTGCATGAAATGTCATCACACAAAATTTGTGTAGTTTTCACAGATTTGATTGAAAGCTCGTGAAAAAATAACTTGCACAAATTAGAAGAGTTTATGATCATTTTAATTATGATGTTATTCAAAATCAATTACATTTATTTTCTTGGTAGGAGTGATAAAGTCTCTTTAAATCCAATTGATTGTTGTATTCAAATTAAACCAACATCTGAGGAAAATTCTTAACAAGTGGTTGCCATGCAAGATATGACCACATTTTGCAAGAGATGGACAGAGAAAATAAAAATGTGGGCGTATAAATTTTTTTTAACTTTTATCTTAAAAGATACTGCTTATGAACCATGGAAATATTTTCAAACTTGTCACATTGCAATTGCATGGAATGGTAATCATACAAAAGAATTGAATTTTTTCTTGTAAACAATATTTTATTCTGGGGAGCATATTCAAGAAATCTGAAACTAAAATCAATATAAACAAGCCAACAGTGAGGCTGATGTCCCCCGCCAAAATACCAAAATAAATAGATGACACATTAATTTATCGCACATTTATTTTTTTTAAAGTATCAAGCAATCAAACTGATTATCAACTATACACTTAAGTTTCATCACTCTCTATCAAAGTTATCTTGTCCTAAAGCATCAACCAACAAGGCATTGACCTAATCAACACATACACCAAGTTTGAACATTCTAGCTCAATAATGAAGAGAGTTATCGTGCCCCAAAGTATCAACCAATCAAATTGCTTATCTCTGCTTACCCTAAGTGGAAAATGCTCATCTAATCAAATTGCTTATCTCTGCTTACCCTAAGCGGAAAATGCTCATCTTCAAACTCCATCAAGGCATTGACCTAATCAACACATACACCAAGTTTGAACATTCTAGCTCAATTAGGAAGAGAGTTATCGTGCCCCAAAGTATCAACCAATCAAATTGCTTATCTCTGCTTACCCTAAGCGGAAAATGCTCATCTTCGAACTCCATCAAGGCATTGACCTAATAAACACATACACCAAGTTTGAACATTCTAGCTCAATTAAAAGTTATCGTGTCCCAAAGCATCAACCAATCAAATTGCTTATCTCTGCTTACCCTAAGCGGAAAATGCTCATCTTCGAACTCCATCAAGGCATTGACCTAATCAACACATACACCAAGTTTGAACATTCTAGCCCAATTAGGAAGAGAGTTATCGTGTCCCAAAGCATCAACCAATCAAATTGCTTATCTCTGCTTACCCTAAGCGGAAAATGCTCATCTTCGAACGCCATCAAGGCATTGACCTAATAAACACATACACCAAGTTTGAACATTTTAGCTCAATTAGGAAGAGAGTTATTGTGTCCCAAAAAGTGTGACGGACGGACGGACGGACGGACGGACAGACGGACGAACCCATTTTAATAGTCCCCTGCTTTCTTCGAAAGGCGGGGGACAATAAAATCAAAGATGTCTGTGTGTGTGTTCGTCCATCATGCTTTGTTGTCGCAATCCACCCCCACATGTGGTATCAAATTAACCAGTATGACCCTGTGAATGTCTTAGGCCATTGAATTTGGACCCCCAGGCAAACTGGGCCTGGGCCCCGGTGGATCAGGCCTCTTCGTCGCGCTCCACCCCCACACGTGTGGTATCAAATTAATAAGAATGACCCTGTGAATGTCTTAGGCCATTGAATTTGGGCCCCGGGTGAATTGGACCCAGGACGAATTTAGGCCCCGGGTGAATCCGGGTATCCTGCTAGTATTTTAAAATGAGGATGCAACTTTTTCATCGGCCAGGGGTTCAAATTTGTAGTGAGATATAGCTTTTAGTCAATTTAAAGGTGTTGCATCCCCTAGAATATTTTAGTTTAAGTTTTCATAAATAAGGGCCAAGAATTTGGATTGGGGGACAGAAATGATTTTGAATATAAAAGGAACACCAACCTTTTCTGCTACTTTCTTTTTAGCCGATTTAAACAACTTTAAGATATCATCTTGTGACTGGCCAGTCTGTATAGCTATTAATAACCTATGTTTCCATAATGTTATACTAGTAGAGTATTGATGTGTACCACACTTGGCTGCCGATTCAGCTTCAGAAATTAGACCAACATTTAACAATACTTCAATCTGAAACAAATATACATTTATTCTCCAACATTTCCAAAATACATTTTCGCAAAAAAATTTGAAATTTGAAACTTATTTATATAAATTATATTTTTTGATAAAATTAATTGTTTATGATTTTAGGCCAAAACCCCATGATTAAATTTAACAAAAAAAAAGAAATTTGAAAAGTTCAAAAATAAACTTTTGCTAAAAAATTAAAATTTGAAACTAATTAATTTATAAAATGTGTATATATTTTTGTCAATTACACCAAGCACAGATTGTAAAACAGGAGTTAATTGAGTGATAGCAAAATCTTAAATTTCTTCTCCAAAAGAAAAGTGATATCTCCAAATTTATCGTAAAAGTTCAAAAATACACTTTTGGAAAAAAATATTAAATTTAAAACTAATTTATATAATTGTATATTTTCATCACATGAATTGTTTATGATTTTAGACCAGATTGCCATGATTATTTACACTGGTACGGATTCTAAAACAGGAGTTAATTGAGTGATAATAATATCATTAGTTTCACAGTTTGTTAGATATATATATATAATCTATAACTCTAACTCACCCATAGAATAAATAATTCTTCTGTTAAACACTGTTGATCATTTGCACCATTAAACACATTAACAAGTTTCTGTGTTCTCTGAAACAAGTCAATCAGATAATTAGCATAATTTACTTGGCTTTTGATAAAAGGTACAACAGGTATACAACAGGTAGACAGCAGGGGGTTGTCTTGAATCCGTTGCATTTAATACAATTTACAGACGTAATTACTGTGAATAGATTACGCTTAATACACAACTGTACTTGCTTGAAAATGTTGAGAGAATACTCTTGAAAACATCGCCCAAATAAATTAGTAGTGCAGTGTTATTGTTTATTGCTCTATCCAGTTACTAAATGGCTCTAAAGGATTATTGTTTAATACGCAACTGTATTCAATCGATTGATGCAGCATCTGATGATAGTCGATAAACTTTGAGATGCTACGATTAAGACGATCATACGGTCTTTTCGGAACTAACATATGGTACAATATTATTTCAATAATGTGTTTGCCAGTAGGGGTCTTTAGCAGTGGGTGAAAACTGGAGGGACCCGGAGAAAACCCACAAGGTTGGACAAGTGACCCCATTCCTTGTCACAAACATAGTTAATTCAATGACAGACCTTATGATATTAAGTGCACTCGTTTTGTGACTAATATATGGTACAATATTATTTCAATAATCTGTTTGCGAGTAGGGGTCTTTAGCAGTGGGAGGGACCCAGAGAAAACCCACAAGGTTGGGCAGGTGACCTCACTCCTTGTCACGCACATAGCTGGGATCGAAACTGCGCCACTTGATTCAATGACAGACCTTATGATATCAAGTGCACTCGTTAAGTCAGTCGGCCACCCAACAAGACCAGAGGGGGAAGTGTGTATTTATCCATTATTTATTAGACAAGTATATATCTATTAAGGATTATATTGTTTTATTTATTATGGCTAGACGAGATAATCTAGATAGCCTCTAGAAATCAAACAAATCAGCATCTAGAAAATGGCCATGTGTATAATACATGATCCTCTGAATATAATAGTTTATTTAGGAACAATATGAAGATGAATAAATGATGTATAGGCCCTATGACCAGACAGTAATGTTTCACAACATATAAATTATTAGATACAGTTGAATTTCAGTATAATCCTTTTTATTGAATTTAAATAACTAATACATTTTTACGTTTTCTCTGGGTCCTCCGGTTTCCTCCCACTACTAAAGAACCCTACATGCAAGCGATTTATTAAATAAAATTGAACCATGTTAGTCCTGAAATGACCTAGTTTGTGACCAGTGGAGGTTAAACCCTCTCTCTCTCCCCTGTCACCTGGATGACTGAATGGTTACCCCCCCCCCCCCCTCCGCGCGCACTGCGCTGGAGCATAAAGGCTGTCATTGAGTGAGTCAAATGGAGTGGTTTCAATTCCCCGGTTGTACGTAATAAGGAGTAGGGTCGCCTGTCCAACCGTGTAGGTTTTCTCTGGGTCCTCCTGTTTCCTTCCACTGCTAAAGACCCCTACGTGCAAGCGAATTATGGAAATAAAATTGAACCATATGTTAGTCCCGAAATGACCTAGTTTGTGTAGAGTGGACCTTAAACCCTCTCTCTCTATCTCTCTCTCTCAATCTCCCCCCTGCAGCCAATTTAAAGGACATGAAGCACCTGCCTGCTGTTAATCTGTTATAGGTTATAATAACATTCACCATCTTATTTTACTACAACAATCAAATATAAACACCTCTTGTAAATAAACATGTTGTATTTTATGCTATTTTACACAAATTCAGGATATGTCATATCTATAGTCCCGACATGCCTCCTTATTCTAAAAACATTTCCCAATATTCTGCTGTTTCCTAAACTCAATACATATACCGATCTGTACAACCATGCTTTTATCCTCTAACTTATATATCTATCTGCATACATACTCTGACATGATTACTGTACTACACATATGAATTAGCCTACAGATAAAGCTGCGATAAATCATTGCATATAACCTTTTTTATCTTTCTACAGAGGATTGATATATCTAACTTATTTACAGCAAACCCTAAATAGTATTGGAAAAAAAACTGTGATTTATGAAACTAGTCCATATTCATGGTGTTTAGTGATTTGCCCCAATGTGAACCTTATGATACGACGATTATCCAAGCCTAAATCCTATTGGAAGATAATCTCTATTACTTTCTGAACTAACCCTTCGGCCTGCAGATAAATTAAAATATGCTGGAAATAAATTAAAATATGCACATAATGATAAACTGGAGTATACAGGTCACAATTTTATGGAATGACTAGAGAAGCCTTGAAACGTCGCTCAGTAATAAGCAGTAATTGTATTCCATAAAATTGTGACCTGTATGCAAAGAATGATGTCTGGTGAATGGTTCCCATTCACAAAGAATGCAATACCAATAATTTATAGACCACAGATCTAGTGCCTTAAGTGAGTCAAATCATTTCATGCTCAGATGTCCATTTAATTTCAGAATCCTTATTTAAATCTCAAGAACATCTTTATTATTGTATCTGTGTGGTGACACACAATAAAACACTTCACCAATAATGACCCTAACACCATGAAAGACGGTCATTACACAATCTCATTTCGTGTCATTAGACAAGTTGCTCAATTTTACCACCAATCTAAATACTAACATTTTTGTTTTCCATGTCAAAGTTTTCTAAAGATTAGGTTTTAATTCTTTTCGATCCTTGTCAAATACTTGTCTCCTTATTGGTCGCGTCTGCTTACTGTAACTTTTCAATTTATTGATTAGTTTACAAGTAAAGATGTCATCTGGACAATAACTAATAGAATGTGTCAGAAGTTTAACAGCAACACTGAACACCTTGCTTCAATGACCATTGGTCAACATGGTCATCTTTCACCACAACAATACCTTAGGCTGAAGGAAAACATTCTTTAGGAAATGTTATAGCTGCAGCATTAAGCACCTCACACTTTCCTTCCTGGCAGCCATTAAAACTATCAACTTAAATCAACATTAGATCTAGATCTAACACATTTACCGAGTCCCTAATTCAATCAGTAATAGGAAAGGAGAGAAAATAGAAATTCTCCTGTCAAATCCTAACAGTTCTACCTTGTTGTTTTACACTATAATGCCTACATTAACAGCCAATTAACACATTCATTACACTATAAACATATGTTATAATCAACATTAGTCAACTAAACAAAAAAAATACTCTAAATAAATCACAAGTGAAAGCTTCCCCATGGGCATGTAAAATGTCATAAAATCTACTAAATGCATCAAATATCAATGCAAAAATAGTGTTTTTGTACATAAAACATATTTTTTTTGTGAGTAAAACAAGTAATTCACACATCTCACAGTACTTGGTATCTGTTTTGGTTGTTTTTATGGAAGAAAACAGCATGTGATATTCTAAAACACATTCTAAAATTTTACACACCTTGAAAATCTCTGGTACTCTATTTTATTAAGCAGATAATCGCTGAAGAATGCTACAATAACACAGCTATAAGAACTGTTGAAGACATCTATAGTACACAAATGTATTCCATAAAATTTATATGAAATGTGTAATTCAAATTCCATTACTTAATGCCATTGAAACAATCTGTAGAATATGCATAATATTCAGAAATAAAGGGGAACAATCATGCAAATGTTTATTCAGTAACTAAGTTTGTGTTACATGGGAATTTATAAAAATATTAGATATATGCTTTTATATTTTAAAATCCAAATTCCCTAGGAAAAGGGAAATGGTTGTGGTTTAAATTAAATATATGCATGTTGTAATAGACAATAGGCTATATAAGAGGAGAGAAAGTTTATTTTGGGAGTAACAGATGGTAAATAATTGTTGCAGTAGTATGAAAAAGTGTGGTGTCAATGACCTTCCCCCCCCCCTTCAAAAGGTTAGGCACAAATGTAGGATAAAATCCCTGAAATAATTCCACGAATACATAAGATTTTTTACATCTTATTTACAATTGACCTATTATCAATTTTCTTTGTCTCTAAGCAATTAAAACAATATATTCATAATCGGATCTACTATATTGGAAAAGAAGATCATTTGTTCAAATGCTATAAATTGTTTAAATAGTTTATCATCCGTCTTTATTACAACAATAGTTCTATATTTAATAATAAGATCTGTTATATTGGAAAAAAGATCATTTGTTCAAATATGGTACTAAAAATCGCCGGTCTTTACTACACACCTAAATACAATAATAGTTCTATATTTAATGAAAAACAAACAAATTCCATACTAGTTCTCATCTCAATAAATAAACTACAATCAATATCATGCTATTAATTATAGACAGTGTTAGAATAAATATTACCTACACATAGTTCATTTTTTTTCAAATGTACCATAATTATTTAACAAATGTGGAGGACATTTTCAATATTTGGAGAAAGGGGGTGGGGGTGGGGGGGGGGGTAAGAAACAATCATACAGAAATATGTATCATTAGATTCAATTATAGACAATAAGTGTTAGAAATATTGCCTACAAATTTCAAGACATGATTTTCACTGAAATCATTACAGCTCATTGAGTTTCAAATGTACCATAATTGTTTGACAGACATTGAAGACACTTACCATATAAGGAGAAAGGGGGGAGGGGGCCAACAATAAATGATCATATAGAAATTTCAAGTCATCATTTGAAGACACTTAACATATAAGGAGAAAGGGGGGAGGGGGTTACCAATAAAAGATCATATGGAAATTTCAAGTCATCATTTTCACTAAAAGCATTACAGCTCATTTAGTTTCAAATGTACCATAATAGTTTGACTGAAATTGAAGACACTTACCAATTAGGCTATCAATAAATGATCATACAGAACTTCCAAGATATGATTTTCATTAAAGGTGTTACAGCTCATTTAATTTCAAATGTACCATAATTGTTTGACAGACATTGAAGACACTTAGGAGAACAGGGGAGGGGCTACTAATAATAGATCAGATTAAAATTTTGATCATTCATTTTATATATATTTTAAATTAATCACATCATATTTACCAAGGATTAAATTTTTGTTCAATTTATACAATTTTCATGATGTTCAATTACTTGTAATATTTCCATACTAATTGTTTACATTTTGTTTCCATTACAACAAAATGGTCGAAAACAGATAATAAAATTGAAATGAATCGAACATGGATCTTATAATGTCCATGAATAGAATAATGGAATTAATGGAATTAGTATTCATGGTCAGTGTGTGTATTAGTCAAGACGTGTGATAGGTTGTAAAAGATCAAGTTAATTCCCCTTGTTATACGGACAGCGAGAAAAGTTAACGCCATCTGTATTATCATAAACCAGCCGGCTGCTACCTGACTATAACAACACAATACACTTTACCCCATCGAAGGTAAATAAAAACCTGAGTCTGATCAATGGTCTCAAATAAAGGTCAACTTTTAAACAATTCTTAACCAGTGTTGGTCTTTTGGTTGAAAGGTATCAAAATGGCTGGCTTATTCAGACACAAGATTAGTTGAGGTGAAGCGATAAAGCCGGAGCATGACAGTCAATAATAGACAAATCCTTTCTGATACAATCAACAGACTAACTGGACTGACCACTGTCCACTACAAGACAATAGAAATCATGTGTAAGACTGTTATTTAATACTGGACATATGGGCTGGACAAACATTGACCTGATACATGTAACAACATTAACCCTACTGTTCACTCTAACACCAAGGTTGTCAACTCTTGAAATCAGATGCTGTACAACAACAGAGGATTGACAGGCTATCATGGTCAACAGTGGCCAATAGCACTACTGTTCACTCCAACACCAAGGTTGTCAACTCTTGAAATAAGAAGCTTGTGGAACAACAGTGGACTTGGCAGGCTATCAAAAGTCAAAAGCAAGCCCATAGTACTACGGTAGTACTACTGTTCACTTCAAAAGGTTGTCAATTCTTGAAATAAGATGCCTGTGGAACAATAGTGGACTTGGCAAGCTATCATAGTCAACAGTAGCCAATAGTACTACAGTCTACTGTTCACTCCAACACCAAGGTTGTCAACTCTTGAAATAAGATGCTTGTGGAACAACAGTGGATTTGGCAGGCTATCATAGTCTTCAGTAGCCAATAGAACTACATTTCCGACCCTCCCTCCCATTATCAACTTGTCATATCAACAAACTGAGCAAATTTCCTGCATATGTTCCTCTGATGACATGATCTGTTTTATGAGTGAAACCTATCATCTATCCCAGCTTCATTGACAGCAATATACATGTTAACTGTCAATCAATCATGTCAACCAAAGAAGTAAAGACTTTTTTCGTTTATTATAAATTCGATTCCAAAGCATCTTAGGCCACACCAATTTAAGATTTCCTGTTCTTCGGAAGATTTTCTTCTTATTTGATCTGGAAAAAGACTAATTTAAAACCACAAAGTACTTGTTTGCACTGTTCAAAAACCTTTAGTTCCAAGTTTCTAAGTTTTTAAATTTTAATCGAAAAATCCATGTAGCTATTTATTCATCAACACCCCGAAAAACAGAAAATCAAATTTGTTTGGCCTTAGCATTATCTGGCAATGTTCTCAGAATCCTGTCAAAAATTGAGCACTTGAAATTTTTTCAATTAACTCAACAGGTGCTTGCTTAAAAATGTCAAATAATTTTTTAACAGGAAATTAAAGACAGGACACATTTGTTCAAAATGATGATAGAAAAACACATTTATTTTTTCACTTAAAATATCAGATGAATTACTGGAGTGACATAAAAAATTATATTCACCGGTGAATCAATGATATGGGGCAATGTAAACTGATCCATTCAGACACGACATCTAGATTAAACTACTGTGACATTCAGTGTTCTGTGGCAGGAATATCAAGTAAACTTCTATTATAATGAGTTAATGTAATCAGACAAGCGTTAAACTAGGATTAAAGATATGATATACATCCATATTGTTGATGGTATTAAAACTAGTAACCTACCTGTCGTTACTGATGATGATGTCAAAAATACTCTATAAACCATGTGTGTACATGTTTATGAAAATATATCACAAGTAAACTTAGTGGCGTAGGATGGGCACAGCAGCCGAGGCGCAAAATTTGTAGGACGCATAACATTTTAAAAGAAAGAAAAATAAAGTAGTAATAAAAAAAAACTGCACCCTTCCCCCCAAAAACTCTTAAAGTTCAAACATTCTACACAGTTTTTCAACATAATGTTGCAATGCAACATTTGGGGAAGTACGGTAGGCCTACTTGCCTTGCTAAGCCACTGCATGTACAAAATTCTTATGAAATGAAATGAAATGAAATGGTGTTTAACATCTTACTGTTCTGCTTCGAACTGGGCTAATGAAGACGGGCATACGCCATACAGTGTGCTATGAGGGAAATTTTGCCCGGAAAGCGGCACTACGGCCTACTCTTATATCGAATTCCAACTGTCAAGGGATGTGTACACGGGACCTCAGTTTTTCGTCCCATCCAAAAGACGAGACAGCTGTCCCTGTCATGCCCTCCATCCTGCATAAATTCTTATGAAGTTTCCACTTAACAACTTTATAGCACTCATTCAGATTTCATTCACAATATAACTAGTTTTTTATTTGAGTAGGAGGAAATCGGACACATGTCTCAAGAACTAATAAATGTGAAGTTTAAAGGGTAATACTGTTGTTAAGGGTGGGGTTAGTTGCTGATTCTCCATCCTATATCTGCTCTGAGATAGGTTAGCTATAAACAAAGGCAATTTATAATATTTTTATCTTATTCATTATTTTTATTTAAGAACAAACGAAATTGTGTACTTAAAAAAATTTATAAATATATGGTCAAAAAAATATTTAGCCATTTTTTTTTTTGATAAAGTCAATAGACATGCCATAGATACAAAACAAGGCATAAATAGGCCATAAAATACAGATTTTAATAATATATAATAAAAGATAACTGTTTTCAGTGTAATAAAAGTCGTTCTAGAAGCTGACAACTTGTCAGCTAATTCATAATAAATATATACCATGGGAGACTACACTTCAAATGTCATTAATATCATCAAATTTATGGCAGACAAAAAAAACCTAACCTGACATGGAACATACTCAAAGCGAATTTTAATTTTATTGAAAAAAAATTAACCTGTCTGACAAGAAATGTGTGAATTACAGGTTTTGTGTATTTTTTTCCAAGAAATGGCAATCTTATTTGCACATTGCCTTGTCAATGGTGAAAATTGTATTTTTTTATATTAATTATTTCAAAGTAACATGTCTATCTTTAGAATAAAAAGACAGAGAAATGGGGTTTAACATCCAATCATCACAACTAGGTCATTTCAGGACTAACATAATATGGTTAGACCATTTGACCACCCAATCACACCGCCACCCCAATACCTTACAATACCCCCCCCCCCCAAACTGTAGATTATTTAGTAATTTAACTTCCTTAGTCTGGTTGTGACGGAAGAAAACTTAATCCACTGTGACTTTGAAATGTTTTCAGAAACACAATATTGTCTCTTTAATAAAAGAATCAACAGAAGATCTTAACCACAGGTAGATATATTAAATATGAAGTTAATGATAGACCATTGATTTACTTATAAGCCGGACAAGAAACATATATCCCCGAAAAACAATAAAAAAAACCCAGAGAAGGCCGTTAATATAAAATGTCTGTAAAATTTATGAGTTTAATATCTTGTCGAGTTTGTAGGAAAATTACCATTGAAAAAAATTCATCAATTCATCTGAACAGATTAAAACCCTTCTTAGCTAAATGAAGTGAAACCAAACTTGTTGCTGATCAAAAAGACTATTAAGCTGCATGCCATCATGGATTGATGAAGCTAAGTACAGTCTGTTCAATCATTTTTAGTTGAGTCTTCTCATCTATCACATGGGTCATTGCTCACAAGAGGGGTAACAAGAATGCCCATTAATAAATGTAGTGGTCCTTTAAATGACCTTTACCTTTTCTGTTTTACTGCTGTCCGTAGTCTTTTCTTTCACCAGCTCAATGCACCTTTTGATGTAGAGACCCCACATTTCACCTGCAAGTACAGAGAACATAAGGAACTAAAGCAGGGGTTAATGACAACTGTTGTAAAAGGAGATAGATGGTTTTTAGTGAAAAGTGTAAAATTGGTGTACATATAAAGATCAAATATCTATAGTTATCATGTCAATTTATCAGTTCAGGTTGTTGGTCAGAAAGACAAGAAATTTCTTTATTTTCCCCATGATTTCTTTTTTTTTTCAACAATACCGGCAACTGAATCAAAGATGTCCAACACAAATTGGTTGTTAATTTACATATTAATATCTTAGTAGGTTTTCATACTCGAAACTTTATCACTAATAAATCAAAATCATTTATTATCACTGGTGTTTAACATGCCATGTACAGGTTCAAGTATGGGAAAATTTTATCTTTGATTAGAAACAGATCACAGATGAATTCCAACAAGACTCTGTGTTTTGTTCCAGATTGTATAACTGTTATCCCTAAAATTTGGGGAAAAACTAATCAATAAAAATCATTTAATATCACTAGCTGGTAACATGCCATGTACATGTTAAAGGACGGAAAGATTTTACGATCAAATAGAAGATGATGTACAAGCAGATCAGGGATGAATTTCAACAAGAATGTTTCTGCGTTTAGTTCCAGACTGTATAATCTTTTTGGGGAAAAACAGAAAATAAAAGCACTACTACAGTAATGCTCAAAATCGACAATGACCGGCACATCACATGAGATTTTATCAGAGGGGAGGTGACACCATCATTATGTATAGGATCACATTACCCCATGTACCTGCAACCGTTATGTAAGATCACATTACCCCATGTACATTGCACCCCACCCCCTCAATTCCCCCACCCCCACACACACACAAACTGTTTAACATAATATTAATGTTTTCAATACCCCCAAAACATGACAACCCATTGAACGTTCAGCAACCGTTATGTAGGATCACATCACCCTATGTACATTGCACCCCCTCACCTCCCCAACACACACACAAACTGTTTAACATCTTAATGTCTTCAATACCCCCAAAACATGTCAACCCATTGAACAGTCAGCAACCGTTATGTAGGATCACATCACCCTATGTACATTGCACCCCCTCATGAACTGTTTAACATCCTAATGTTTTATGTAGGATCACATTACACTACCTACATTGCACCCCCTCATGAACTGTTTAACATCCTAATGTTTTATGTAGGATCACATTACACTACCTACATTGCACCCCCTCATGAACTGTTTAACATCCTAATGTTTTATGTAGGATCACATTACACTACCTACATTGCACCCCCTAATGAACGGTTTAACATCCTAATGTTTTATGAGGTGTAACATACATAAATATATATATCTTCAATACCCAACAAAGAGAAAAACCCATTCAACAGTCAGCAAACGTTTTTTTTCCCTGAAGTTTCAATCTAAAGTCATTAATATTACATCAAGAACAACTGATTGAATACAGGGATCACGCAGAGAGTCAGACTAACTGTAACTAACGAGAAGTTAAAATATATCTATTAATATTTCAGAATCTTGTCTAACAAACAGATTAGTTGCAGACCGCAATCGAAATCTCATTTCCACAACAAGTGTTCCTTCAGACACCAGAAGCCATTTTATTGTAAATGGTGAAATGATTGACGAAGAATATCCTGAGCCTTAACACCTTCCTTTTTGACAAAAATTAATGAGTTTTCAAACAGGGAGTAGGGTTGAGATTGATGAAAGATAGAGAGGAGGGGCAAGTTGCCAATTAACTCATCCATGATGACCTGTGAAAGAGGGGAGTGAAGAGAAGAGCCAGGCTTGAATACTTGAAGTAATTGTTAAGTGATCATCAGGACTCATCATGTAACATTAACAGTTTGTCGCTTGTCAGACATCCATCTATAACAATCAAACAACAATCATTAAATACACTTCAATACTATGACATTTCAATTGTAAAATGTCGGTCTGCTGGGTTTTTTTTATTCTGTAGCATAAGGACACATATTCCTCCAGTCATTTCATCTAATTGATAATGTTGTGTAACCTAAACTAAAAGTTATGTGGAATTTCTACTCACATTAAGGTCAAAATGAAGCTAAAGGTTGTTTTTTTTTTTACACCAAACTGGCTAATAAAGATGGACAAATGCCATGCTGTGTGGTATGAGGGTAATTTTGTACAAGAATTTTGGATTGTGGTCTACACACAGTTCCTTTCTAGGAAATGAAATGAAATGGGGTATAACATCTTACTGTTCTGCCTCGACTGGGCAAACGAAGACAGGGCCTTGCTAGGAGTAGGACCCCTGTCCTGAACAACTGAAAAAAGGGAAACGTAAAGGAAAATCTGAGAAATTTTCTTGACAAATACAATACCACAATCTGAGACACTGTGGCTCTATTAGAGTAAAAAATTATGCCCTCCAGATGTCATTGAAACTAATTGTGTTGTCCTAAAAAAAAAAATTGGAATGATAAAAAAAATTAATCAAAACTATCAAATTCCACAACTTTTTTTTATTATCATTATTGCAAAAACAATGTTCCTTAAGATGTTGTCAGCAAATATCAAATTGAATTGTCAATCAAACTAATTTGTTTCCCTGCATTTCAATTGTGGATTCATCCTGGTAGAAATTACAGCTTCCAAAACCTAGATTTCTGCCATTACAAAAATATTGACAAAAATATTTAAGTTCAAGTCAATTTTGTATAAATCATTCGCGTGAAGTAATCTGTCTGAACTGACTTATTACATCAAAGACATTCAAATATTTGCCAATAGCGAATGTTATAAAACGATAATTTATCAAAATATGATTGCAAGCATTAAGATTTCGTGTATCAATTTGCGTAAGGCTGATCTGTGTAAAATAATGATAAATGATGACATGGTAGTCTGGGTCCTGCTTAAGGTGCCAGCTAAACCATCGTTACATAATATTGATCTTGTATTTTATCTTTTAAAAGTTTAACCAGCCGTTTGTCAGTTACTCTTAGTTTATAATCGGTGAATTCGAAATCACAACACATGAATTCACAATATATATATATATCTATCTCGTGTATGTATCGAGGGATGTATATCATTTGAACAGTTTGCTTGATTTAGCAGAAACATCATTTCATGTAATTTCACGTAACATATTAATTTGAAAATCAAAGAAATTTTGTAACAGGGCCAAAAGTAAGAAAATGTTATATATTTGATTTTGTTTAAAATCTTAATTGGAATCAAATAACATAGATACATTGATTAAAATCCTAAAAGAAGAACATTCTTAAAAAAAACAACATAATACATGTATATTTGTTTATAGTTTTTATTTAACTAAATTATAACTTCCACTTGGTAGGATGAGAATAAAAGTAGGATATACATGTTGTTGAAATTGTGACTATGTTGGCGTATGAATAAGTATGTAATTGCAAAGGTAGCCTATAGTTTATTCAAAGTTTTAGGTATGATGGTTTGGAATGCATTATGCAATTATTGTCTTGAATAGACTAGAGTATGGAATAAACAAAGTGTCGGTTGTTGAAATGATCAATATATGTTACCAGTAGCCAGTTCATTTGAAAATGGATTAAAAACTCTGATTCTTAGTACAGTATTGAACGTTTTTTTCAAGAGATGAATATTATAAAATGGCCATTTACTTTCCAGAGAAAGACATCATCTATTAGTGTCACATTTGTCAAGTTTGCGTGTTGACCACCTTATGACCATTGAAATACAGGTAATAAATAGTTGTTCAGTAATTACAGGTATTTATATTGAGTGTATAGAATCTACTCTAAAACCTCTTATACTGTCCCTATAATTACCCCAGTCTAATTATAGTCTCTACTCTACTTTCATTTTATAGTTTGTACTGTTAACAAACACCACCTGATCTGTAATACCATGTCATTTGATCAGGCCACACCAATTTGATTTTCTGTTATAGGAAAACCTGCAAACATTTTCCTTTTTAATTCCTTTAAAGACCAAAGATAATTGGTTGTGCTGTTCAAAAGCTTTTAGTTTCAAACTGTTGTGTTTTGAAATTTTAAACAAAACATCTTTCATGTGAATCAAGTGGCTATTTATTTATCAAAATCCCCCAAAAAACAGAAAATAAAATTATTGTGGCCTTATTATTGTCTACTTGATGATGAAAACCTGCTAATTTTACATCAAATCTAAGCAGATTCTCTCAAATTGAAACTTATGTTATGGCAGACATACAATACTGAAATAAAATGATATGGGATTTAACGTCCTACTGTTTTGTACTGACAGGACTATTAAAATTGGACATACGTCATGATGTGTGCTATGAGGGTAAACTTTGTTCAGACAGTGGCGCTATGTCCTACTCATATCAAATTCCAACTTTCAGGGGATCTTTTACGTGCATGCCAATATGTACACGGGACCTTATAGTTTTTGCCCTAACTGTTTCCACCTACTTCTTGCCAATTCAATCCTGGTATTGGCCGAGAAAGTTCCTCGGGATTTTCGAGCATGGTTTCCCCTTGCACATATAAGAACCCTTGGCAGTTGGAGTCGACGGAGAGTAGGCAGTAATGCCACTATCTTGACAAAATTTCCCTCATACACTTCAAGGCATATCTGTCTTCATGTGCGCCATTGAGGCAGAAAAATAGGACGTTAAACCCCGTTTGATTACATGCTTAATGAATACCATACAATATCAAATTGTCCCCAATTGACCCCAATAACTTGATTATGATCCGAATCTCTTCACAGTCATATGGTTCCTGTATCTAGCCGTAAATGTTTTAACATTTAATATATTCACTGGTGTTTTAAAGCCTGTACAAGACAATGATATAAAATGTCTGCTTCATTAGACAAAAATAATTCGTAGCAATGCATTCATGTAATATTCTTTTCGCTGATTCATTTCAGAATATATTAGTCATGAAACAGAAAACAAGAATGCATCATTTCCAAATGTATTCAAATTAAGATATCGATTTTATGGTACGATCTCACAATTATTGT